ATTACACTTTCACTGTTTGCGCTAAAATAAAAAAATATATATAAATATAAACACATTATATATATATATATATTAACTATACAGTGGAAAATAACATAACATTATAATATATTACATATTTACTACCTATATTTTGTATAGTTTCCACATTATCTTTTTAATTCAGGCTTGGCTGCCATTTTGGGTAGCCTGCTGGAGTGAAACACACGCATGGCCTCTCGCTCAGCTCTTGATCAAGAGCTTGCTCTTTTCCAAGAGCTGGCTCTTTTTCAAGAGCTGGCTAAAAGCAGCAGCAGCGACTGTTTTCCAAGATGCAAGCAAGATATTCAGCTATATATATGTACATATGTACAAACCTTTTTCAAGGCCTAGCGCTAGCAAAAACCTTTCTCAAGGTCTTGGTGCAGAGCCCTTTTCCAAGGGTCTGAGCCCTTTTGCAAGGGTATCCTTTTTCAAGGTCACACCCTTTGCCAAGAGCTGCTTCCATCCTTTTGCAAGGAACTCCTTTTGCAAGGATTGATTTATGCGCTGTATTAAGGGCTGCTTAACTCCTTTTGCAAGGGCTGATTTATGCGCTGTATCAAGGGCTGCTTCCATGCTTTTGCAAGGAGCACCTTTTGCAAGGATGTGTTTGTGCCCTTTGTCAAGGGCCGCTTCCATGCTTATGCAAGGAACACCTTTTGCGAGGGTTGATTCATGCCGTTATATCAAGGGCTGCTTCCACGCTTTTGCAAGGAACACCTTTTGTAAGGGTTGGTTCATGACCTTTATCAAGGGCTGCTTCCTTTTGCAAGGGTTCATGCCCTTTGACAAGGGTTGCACCCTTTTGCAAGGGTGAGCAAGCGCTTCACCCTTTGGCAAGGGTGTTTGGCAACAGCATCTCAAGGGTAGGCTGGCAGTAGCTCCTGTCTCATCTTCAAGGCCTCTGCTTTGCTGAGGCTGTCCTTTTCCAAGGCTTTCATGATTTTGTTGCAAATCAAGTCATGCTGAGAGCTGCAAGTGGCTGGAACCTCCACAATAAGCTTCCTTGGATGGCCACCCTGGTGCCCTCACTCCCTTTCCTTTTGCAAGGGCCTTTGCAGAAGCTTTCCCTTTTGCAAGGGCCTTTGCAGGGCATTGCCATCCCTTTTCCCTTTTGCAAGGGCCTTTGCAGAGGCCTTCTTGCCCTTGCCTTTCCCTTTTGCAAGGGCCTTGACAGAAGCTGTGTCACCCTTCCCTTTTCCAAGGGCCTTTGCAGAGGCATTGTTCCTCTGGCGTTTCCCTTTTGCAAGGGTTTTGGCAGCGACCTTCCCTTTTGCAAGGGCTGCTGCTGGCTCACTGGTACCATATCCCAACGCCTTTTGCAAGGCCTGGGAGCTATGTCCATGGACCATGGTGCCTTCCCTTCTGTTGATGAAGGGCTTTGGTCTGGAGGAGGAGCTCCCTCCCTTGTCTGCGCAAAAGATCAGAGCACACCATGAGAATCCACAGAAATCTCATCAGCAGCTTTTCCCTTTTGCAAGGGCAGCTTTGGAAGTTTCCTCACCCTTTTCCAAGGGCTCCTCCTCCTCTGGCAAGGTCACCATGGCAATGGCTTCTTGTAGGGAAGTGTAGGATGAACCACTGAGCTTTGCAGCACAAATTCTCATTTGGTCATTATCCCTCTTCAACCGCCTCACGTGAGCAAACAGGGTGGTCAGCCTCTCAGCCTTCAGGCTGCTCCATGTGCTGCCATTGAACTCCAGACAAGTACACGCGAGTCTTCGTTGCAATGAGGGAGGATGGGTGAACATGCCAACGGTAACCGGATACGAGACGCAAAGAGACAAGGGCATCTGGCAGAAGTGCTGATGACACGGTACTACCGATGTTGTCAGATTCCAGATTGCCTCAGTAGTCCGCATTTATGCTGGTGATGTTGCGAAAGAGAAACAAAGAGAATATTGGGAAAGCAACTTCAGTGTCCCGAACAATGTGAAATAGGACTCATGACAGATGGTGGTTCCAGTGGCAATGAGAACAGTGTCTTCGCACAATCTCTTTTCCCGACAATCGCGACAAGCGAGAATGATGTCATTCTACATCCAAGCCTCACGTCGCACGACATTTCTCATGCTATTGCAATGGCCCTGGGAGGAAGCTTTCATGTGACGTCTATAGGAAGGATCTCATGAAGCTTGGCATTCTTCCTGGTGGAACAGAAGGGATCAGAGGAAGTTCTTTCTTCAATCAGCTTGCGCCGTGGGACAATCGAGCGGGAGATTTTCTAAGATTGAGCATCCACACAAATGACATTACTTTGAAGAGCCTCGGCGCACGTCTCGTTGAGAGTTCCTATGTCATGATGTTCAAGGAGGCTGCGTGGGATCACGTCAAGGGAGCGTGGTACCAACCGAGATCCAACAGACAACGAATGGAAGAGGATGATGGCAAGAGGGGTTACCAACCGCCTCATCACTGCCGCTGTTCATCCAAACAAGATTGCAACAAAAGATCAAATCATTGAGAAAGCGAAAGAAGTCGTTGCAGGAGGCACGAGGAAGGGTGAAAACATTCGAAAGCTAGATGATATCATCAAGTCCAAGGAAATTAAAGATATGAAGAGGCCATGGAACGAGATCATCGCCCGAACTTGTGAAGTTTTTCGCGCTGTTGATGGCAACATCCTCTGTCCTGCTTGCCTGAACGTGACACCGAATACTCTCACTATCTGTCTTCACTGTCATGGACGATTCATGAGTTGCGGTACGAGGAACACAGTAGCCACGACCACAATCATCGAGATTGACGACGACGATGAGGAGATCAAGGTCAAGAAGGACGTGGAAATGGAGCAACCCAAGGATCACGACAAAGGGCAGCAAGACTGGATGGATGAGGCAACGATGAACGAAAGCAAAGATGTTATGCAATCTGAGGTCACTGACAATGACGAGGAAGACGAGGAAGTCAGCTTGGAATTTATTGACAAGATCATGGCCCAATCAGCAGCTCACATCGCCGAACAGAAGCCCATACCCCTTCACTCGGCGAGGGCGAGGTAGACTATGACAGAGACTCCCTGGCCAGTGATCGAAGAACAGCTAGATGAGATGGGTGCCTTTATCAAAAGTACAGTTGAACATCTGATGTCCTCAGAGAAAGTGATCGAAGATGTTGAAGTCGAGCCCGCTGGACAGGAACTCAGACGAGGGCGAGCTGATGAAGAAGAATATGACCAACATGAACCAAAATCTTTTGACCCGGACATCGGCTTACAAGTGGTGCAGATTTCCAGAACCAATTCCATTTGACTTGCAAGACGAAGCAGGATGTCAGGACGCAGGGAAAGGCTCATCCGGTTTGATGGACAGATACATTGCGCGTTGCGTGACACAGCTCATTTCGCCATTGTATAAATCATACCATTTGCTGGGTATAGCCGACTTCAAGAATCTCTTCAGAAGAAAGAGGCTTGATGCGATGTCCCCATTCCCTTTTAGCGGATTGGATGACAACGAAATGCCTTTGGACCCCACGGGTGGATGAACAGGCGCAAGCTTTTGCGACGCATCGTAAGATCACAGTAAAGTGAGGCATGGCACCGCTTCCGAGGAAAACGTACCATGAGCAGATTTGCTTGTGGCTACACTCCAGACTCTTTCAGGGCCGAGTTCAGCGAGATCGATCTCCCCCAGGGTACCAGCCCAGAGAAGTTTGAAGAGAGGAAGAGGGCAAAGTCAAGCATAATGTCCAGAAAATGCGTGAGCGCCACATTCTGATTTCAGAGAGGATTTGACTGACAGTGCGTCTCGCAAGTGCATCAACACTGTTGACGAGACCCTCGAAGAAGTGGGGCAGATCGATTCTACTGGTCTTGGATCAATCCAAGATCAATCTTCCGCCTATGGCACAGGAGATCTTGTTGGAGATGATCAAACATACCGACGCACGAGCCTTCAAGCGTTGGAACGGCGCGCTGGAATTGGAACAAGTCAAGCGGTTGATGGATAAATATGAATATAGGGCAAACGCTACCAACATTCCATCCACAAATAAACCGCCGCAGCCAAGCGTTGCGCCAGAGATCGAACGACCGCCGCGATCCGAGGCAGCGTCCTCAAGACACCAAAACAAAGGAGAACCTCAACGTCAAGACCCAAAAGGGAAAGGCAAGAAAGGTGGCAAGAGTTCCAAATACTCCAAGGGTTACCAACCTTCTTGGCAGCAAACAAATCGATACGCTCGAAATTGGCAACCAGCGGCTATGAACATGAATACACACGATGCAACGTTCCGAGATGGGCAGTGGACCAACCCAAGACTGGGGAGAGACCCTGCGTATTGGGGAGGCTACAACGATCGGGATGACGCAGATGAAAATGACTATATACGAGGAAGATACCGGACAATGAGGCAAGTTCAACTTACCAAGTATGAACCTCTGTTAGTCGTAAGAGTATCATCAGATGAACATTTTATAGTTGAGCAATTCACGAAAGCATCGGACTACCTCATGAAGAAGATCTACTGAGAGTTTAACTGAGCGTGGCTAATTCGACTATCGTTCTCACAAGTCAAATGCACAGCCAATATGTCTACTCACACATGTATATGTGAAAGTCCGCTTAGTTCCGTTAGTGTTGCGTAGTAGAGAGTCCATTTTGGCCTCGCAGCATCAAGTCGAAACCTGATGCACAGCACACTTACCCTTGAATTTAATCGTCTGTATCCAAAGCTGAAGGCATGGGATACATGGGGGGTGTCAATGGAAGTGCAGCGATAGGTATACAGAATATGTACAAAATGTATTCTATGTGTGATGACTGCCACATGTTTGGCTCAAGTGCCCCTATTGGAGGAAAAAGGCCGCCTGTCCTTTTAATTCTCAATGGAGTACTGGATAGCTTTGTAAACCTTCCCGGTTACGTGTTAATATACACACGCAAAATGCATGTTCACAAGTTATGAGACATTTTGAACAACATGTCAAGGTCTCACTACAGATACCGATTGTTTTCACCAACATGCCTAAAAATGAGGTCTCAGGGTGCACGGCTCGCCCGAATGGAGCAACATGTTCCATCCAGTGACGCTTGGCAGAGATTTGAAGACCTGACTGACAGTCATCCAGCTTGAGATATGTGTCGTGAGAAGCGGACATTTTGGATCTTAAATTGAAGACTTTCAGAGGCTTACTCAGAACTTCAAAGTTGTTTGAATGAGTTTTGTCGCTTATCCATGAGAGTTGGAAGTGCATCCACGCCAAAGTGAGCTACAACCCTCGAGGTGCCGAGGGTTTCTCCTCACCCCCAAACTTGTCCGCGGCATGGAACCCAGAGTTTTGCTCATGCTATGTATATGTTCCAAAGTCAAGGACTTGTACAATTGACATATATTGAAATCAAACTGTTCAACTGGACATGGCTGGGATGTCATCATCCAAACGCCAACATGCAACAATAGATTTACTGTTGGGACACCAGGCAGTCTGCACGGATGGAGCGTGGTCGGAGGCTGTAGACGGGGGGGCTACAGGGGAAACTCTTGTTCGGGTAAGAGCAAGAGCACTGCAGTCTCGTCTGAGTTCGCCGCGAAATCCACCACAGGTGCGCTGCGACAAGGACTGCAGCAGAAGTGTTCTTTCACGCCGGCCTGGGTGGCCCACCTGTCTTCCTTCAGTCTTGCAGGCATGTGCCGCCCCAGCTGATGTTGAACAGGCAGTTCAAACCTTACACTAGTGGATTTGTGATTTGGCTGTCAGCCTCCAATTTTCTTCCATTCTCAACGCATGGATATCGGATTCCTCAAGCCTGTCAAAAAGCACTCAGCAACTCAGCAATTCCGAGGCAGAACCCAGCTGCCAAGAAGGGCTGACAGTTTACAGTGCCTGGGCTGCAGCTGGGCCAGTTCCGCCGTGTCCGCAGCCTTTCTGATGCTGAGGCGGCGGCGCTTGTACGCCAAGCTGTCAAGAAGGTCTTCAGCTGTGGTCTGAGTCAGTTTGAGAGTCTGTAACACTACAATCAATGAACCTTGTAGATTGAAAGCTATAATTAATGGCCGCTCCCTTAAATAAATATTCCAGTGTCCGGGTAACCCCCAGGAATAATTTTCCAGGAATAATTCTAAAAAAACACTTCTGGAATAATTTATTTTGACCATGGAGAACCCAGACCAGGGGGTACCATGGAATAATAATCCTGACGAACCTCTGCCTACCGCAGAATAATTGTTTAAGGGAGCGCCTCCAGACTTCACAGATCGAATCAGCTGTTTTGGAAGTCGTTGTGTTCACAATGCAGAGCTGGCGAATGATTCGAGATTCTGGCTCAAACACGCCATATACCAATTTCTCACATCTTCACATTGGCCCCAGGCCCTATGAAGGCATCGCCAGACACAGA